GCTACCGGTAAGCTTCGGCGCAATTTAACAGCATGCCATTCCAGAGACGTCTCATTATCCTTCAATGCGCGCCGACCTAGGGAGACGTATACTAGCACTGCTTACACAGCAGCTCATCTACGAATATCCATCTAAGGCTACCCTGTATCGGTTGTCCAACACCAAAACTGTATCCGATCCGTTCGCTACCGTCAGAGTGCTCTCTAGCCATTGCTCATATTGCACTCCCGACACAGTGGTATGGATAGCCCTTACACGTGCAACACAGCGAATTCTCCCCGTGTGTGCTGCGCCAACGTTGATCTGACCTCGGAATTGAACGTCACGAGAAACACCTTCTCCCTTGCATGATAATCTCTCCAGAATGTTCCGTCGTCTCGCCTCATTGACTAATGAGATTGGAGCGCCTTTCCCTTAGTTGTCACCCCCCTCCACCTCCACGCTTGAAGCTAGTTTGAACGGCCATCATGCACTCTACGTACGTGTACCGCTGCCGATGCAAGGTATCGAAGTCTTGTCATCATGCCTACCGAGTTTACACTTGCTGACCTAGGACTCAGTACTTCACGGGCAATGGCGGGACAGATGTTCGCTGTCCGTATGGCACACGATGTCGGTAAGCACACCACGTTGTTCTGAATACTACAGAAGATGCCAAAGGGAGCAAGATACATCCATCCCGACGATCTTGAGTGGAAGAAAGTAGAGTGCGTTTTCCGAAGTCTGGGAGAGCAAGAGTATCTGGCTCTCATATGCGCTCGCGCAGGATGCAAAACGGCCGAGCGCGGTCGTCGGGGAGATTGAAAGGAGACGTCGGGAAGAGCAATTTTGGAAAACGAGCTGGGTCCTTTCATAACCGCTTCATCGATCTGAAGAACGTGTGTTAATACTCTGTCACATAGAAGGGTCACCGTGCACAGGGAGATCAACTGAAGGGCTATTTGCGAGGACGCAAGCAGACACGGCAATGCTCGAACAGTTCAGTCACACACGCGGTCAAGGAGAAAGAACGTGAGCATTTCTTCGCTACTTGTTGTTGTGTCAGTGACTCGCAAGCTGCTTGAGCTGATTGCGTGCATTTAGAAAAGATCAGAGAACGCGTGCCGAGCCCCGTTGTAGTCAGCTTCGTAAACGAATATTCGACTTGCGATGCAAATGAGTGCCTCACACCACATCCTGATCGCATAGACAATGAAGAACGTGAAGATATCCCCGAGAGTATGTCATGCCTATGAAGCAGATAGCTTGTTCTCTAACTGTCTTTTCAGATGCCGCACTCCCAGTAACGCTGGCCACGGGGTTCATGGCAATAGTGGAAGAGACAAAAATGGTCCAAGCATACGAAGCCTTGCTCCATGTTCCACCTGGAATTGCTCAAGCCATAGAGCCCAGCCCTGCGGAGGTGAAGGTGATGCTCGACAAAAAGCAAGAAAGGGTCACAAATTTCCTGAGTCAAGACTGGGTTCCCCAGCTTTTTCAGTGTATGCTTTAGCTCACCATCTCTCCGCAACTCTACTGACCAAGTTGCGCCACTCATAAAGCCGTTACGGCGGAGACTGAAAAGGCCTCTGACAAAATACGCCGCGAAAAGCGCAGTATCGACAAGCAAGTAGCAGCACTAAGTGCGCTGGCTAGGCGAGAAGTTATAACCGAGGTGGAGAGTGAGTGAATTGCCACTCCACTTTTCATTCTGATGCGTCAGAGACTGATTGGCTGCCGATAGAAGCAATGGGTGGGGTTACCTCTGGGAGAACGTACAGAGACAAGTATACTTTCTCCGAGGGACGGGGTAATTCAAGTGCATCAAGCAAGATAGAAGGATTCGGATCTCAGGATACCTCCATAACCGGTCATCCGTTCAGGAACCCTGAAAGGAAATACGCGGCGTCAACCTCAACCGTTGCAACACACGTTATCCGAGACTTGAACACGATATCGTTCGAATGACTACGAAATCTACAGGCTCGCGACCAGTAAAAACACACGGCGAGGGAGACAAGTTTCCGTTTGAGATCGACATTGATTGAAGGGGTTAACGATAGCACACACAGTTGACGGCCTGTATCTGTAGTATGTCCCACTCTACTCGGCTCATCAGTCCGTATGCACGCTACGTGTGAATGTCTGAATGGTGATCAAGGCTGTGATGTCTGAGAAATGTCCTGAACATCTGATACTTAACTGCAAATACATCACGAGCATGCGCAAGCTAACGAAGGTCAAGAAACTATTGGAAAGTTACACGGTGGAACGTCACGGGCACATGGCTTTGAAGTAAAGCTGAAGAGCGTGTTTTTGACTGACGAGAAAGCTGGAATTAGGCATCTTCGCGCTCCATTGTACACTCCATGACCCATACAAACAGCTCTTGCATATTCGTTAGGCCAATGCCCCCGTCGTTAAAGGAAGGTTCGCTGGTTAGCCAACGAACTATTGTAGAGTCGGGAGTGTCCGAGTTCCACGTCTGATCGAATCTTCTCGCTGCGTCTTTTCTCCAAGAGCCGCTATCTTGACGCAGTAAAAATGAAACAGGTTTGAGTATATCTGGATGAGGACATCGGAGAGACTCCCCAAATCGTCCGGACACTGATGGATGTTCCAAGCCTACGATATTCAGAGGGAAGTGGCAATGGTAGCAGACGGGGTGTGTGAGGGAGCCGCGGTATCTCAAATCCTTGTTGAGTCTTGCGTAGTCGGTCATATTCTGTACCGATCTCAGACTCGAACAGTCTCTGAATAAATCATGCGCCGGCGTGTCAATGTTGAACATCATACACACAACGCAGCGCTTATCCAACCACTCCAATGCCGCCAGCAGTGAAGATGTTGCAGTAGCATCTCTCCCAACGCGAGCGGAACGGTGCTCAGCTGCGGCCTTGTGCGCATCTCCAAAGTTCCGAGGGGGACTTTTACATTTTAATGGAATGGGCGGGTTTGAGGGCACACACGTCGTCCTTGTCATACTCTCCACGTCGACATCAACAATCAGCTCAATTTCCTGTTCTTCTTGATCGTGATCGCATCTAGAGCACGGATTATTAGAAAATTGACTCGTGTCACTGCATTTGACGGTCAATGCTGCGCCGTCTATGAACGCAGTCAGTGCCTCGCGAAGGCACGCAGTCTTATTTTTGATTGCGGCTCTCATTGCTCTCACTCCAGCAAAGTCAGGCTCTGATGGCCTGGGCATAAACCTTCCATCCGAGACGGGTATAACCACGGCCGTACCACTCGCTCCAGCTTTCCTTGCGACTCTGCCAGATGCCTGATGAAAGTTAATCATGCTGGTCGGGAGGCGTATGAAGTATGCCGCAGTAACGGATGTGTCGTGATGACCTGCTTCTAATGCAGAAGTAGCTACCAGAAACGGGCCCGATACACCTTTACGCCAGCTTTCTATGACACTCTTTCGATAAGACTGAGAGGAGTGAAATTCTGGATCAAGATGACTCCCGGCCATTTGACCACAGTAAAATCCTGCGTTGAGACCTTGAAGCTGCAGGGTGGAGACTACCTCTTTCCCGTCGTCCCCGGAGTCCACGAATATCAGCGCTTTGCATTCCGAGTCGTGGAAACTGGATTTAAAGTGGCGGAAGGCGAACATAGCGGCCTCCTTGACGCTACTCGCCGACTTTTCTATAGAGTATCGGATCTCGGGCCTGTTTGTGCTTTCCCGTATCACCATGGTTTGACTTCCCGAAAGGAGGTTAAAATCCGTCCTGAGGGCTTCGACCATAAGGGGTGGGATACTGGCGCTGATAAGAACCATTTGACATCCCTCTGAACGCTGCAGCGCACATCTAAGCTCTTGGCGCTTACTCAATGTCAATGAGCTCCTGAACCCGTCCTGAGTCATCCACGTCTGAGGCTCATCCAGCACGATTCGACAGCGCAGATAAGAGTGTCTCTGATTCGCCTGAGCGAGCTCCGTTATCAGCGAGGTTTTGGATAACTGATCCGCCGAGACAAGCAGTACTCTGATGTTGTCAGCTATTGCCTGGCCAGGTCTGTAGACTTGGAAGGGAACCTTTATCCTGAGTAACGCTTGTTCCGTGTTGTATAAAACGGCCCTCAGAGGACAGGCGTAGAGCGTAAGTGAGCGAGGCTCCATTTCGGCCGCCACAAACGCTATCATAGACTTCCCGCTACCAGTGGGTAAAATGGCCATTACGTCTTTGCGATACTCGAGCGTTGCCGTGACTGCCTTTCTCTGTCCGTCACACGACCAGGATTGGGCTCTCAACTTGTCAGGGTGCACCGTGTCTGTGGACGATGCCATATCCCGCCGTACCAGCTCTAACAATGTCGCTAGCTCCTTGACCGGGGGCTCACTGCTTGCCGTGACTATTTGATACATTAGCACCTTGAATCGCACAAGATCAATATGCGGGGCCACTTGCCGCTGCTTGCATGAACTCGTTTTTCTTCCCGATGCTCCGTAGCAGAGTCGGGTATTTGAGCTGAATGTTCATATAGATCACTCCTTATGCAACCCTTGCCCATATACCTTGCTTTAAGCTTTCGTGGAAGACGGGGCTCGCCATGCTGATTTGGTTTGCAGCGCGGTAAAGTACGTGGTCCATGATCTGCGACCTCGGATGTCTGATCTGGTTTGGCGAATGAGCAAACATATTCAACCTTGATCACGATGGCGACGGAGAGACTACCGTCAAGCGGCTCACATGTTTCATCTTCAACTTCCGTAGACCACCGTGATGGCTCGGTAAAATCAGCGGAGTGCCGCTGTCTTTTGGATTTTTGTGTGCCACTGCACTCGGCGTCGGATTCTGGGACTTCAATGACAGCAGACGAGACGAGTGTGGCTGCTTTTACACTCCGAGACTGACTAGCGTTTATCCTCCCTGAACCGCTTGCTGTGTTAACGCTGCCCGACGTCTTAGTCGAAACCAAATTTGTCCCGTGAGCTTCCGGCGACCTCAAAAGGCCCGCCTCCGCGAGCAATTCACGAAGTATTGTCTTCATCATTCCTGCTTGCCGTTTCATCTCCAAATCGAATGGGAGATGCTCTTCCCATTTGCTATCGAAGCGCGAGTAATGAGAGGATGCAAGCGTTTCCCGGGGCACACCAGCTGGAAACCGGGTTGAAGATGTAGATGTTCGAGATCTACGCAAACGCGCAACTTACCTGGTACGATCTTGAAAAGTATGTGCATCCTTCGACACGCCTGAATGACTCTTTCCCATAGCTGTGCGTTGGCCCGTTCGGGAACGTTGCGACAGACCGCGTATCTTGCGCGCTCCACCTCAAGCGTGTGTGAGGACATGACTGCATTTATGTCGTCCTCAATGTCCTCTCCTGCGACGTAGTTCTTTAAGGCCACCATCATCTGGCGTATGTGTCTTAGCGTGAACGAGATTCCCAGAATCTTTGACGTCCATCCAGCAAGTGCGCTGGATAGATCGTCACACACAAAAAGGCGTGAAGTAGAGACAAAAAGCTTGTTATGATAAAGTTCCATTATCTGGTCGTTTCCTCTGTAAACCTCACTGACGAGATGTATGGCAAAGGGCCGCAATATTGCCAGATTGATCATGACAACATAGCTGAGACGCGCATCCAGGACATCGGGTACTACGGTTCTGGGGCCGTTTCGCATTGGCTCTACCTTGCTATATGTCTTTGCAATGTATATCAGATTGCCATACGCAAGCAGATTGCGTATGTCGCCGTCGCGACCGTTGGCGTAGTTCAGCGCGGTCAACTCGGTACTTCGTGCAGGTCCCCCTCCTGAGAGAGTGAGGCAGACCATACAATCCTTGTTGAGCTCCGCGTACTTGGTCAGCCACTTTCGCGCAGCCGTTTGAAGAACTTCCCATTTACCGTCCTGTGATCTCCGGAAGAACTTTTTTCGTAAACTGGGCGTGTTGGCTATCCGGTGCAGAAGAACCTCTGTGTCGCCATCTGGATAAAAGACGTCTGAGTTGCGCGGATCCTTAAGTATTGAATGTCCATATGTCTGGTTATGGGGATCGTCAACGACACGCTTCCCAGCAAAGTTGATGAGGAGGTCGTTCTGGTCAAGCAAGAGGTCCTTCAGCAGCTCTTCTTGGTGATCTTGCACAGCATGTATCATCTGTGCCCATGTATCGACGTGTATTCGCGAGCCTCTGTACTCAAATTCTTTACGTGTGTGCTCATCCAGCCAGTATATGGTCGGCAGGTTCACCTGGCACATTGTGACATATGACGCTAGATGCTGAGTCTGTGCGACGGTGCTGAACGTCCTCTGCTGCCCCTCGGTGTAACACGGTTGCAGCTCGGTTGAGATATCATCTAGGCTCTGAAGTCCTGGTCTGTCATTGCGTAACTCATGCATGTGCTTGAGCATTATGAGCCGCTGATACGCTTGTAAGACAATCATTCAAGTTGACGACCCAATAAGACTCTCACAATGTTGCGCTTGACCTTCGCTAAAATGGGCGTCAGATAGTCAGCGTCCTTCCAACGACCGTTTCGATCCAGCATGGTAAGCATGATCGTGCGCATTACTGGATCGGGAATGACATTCCCTACACTCGGCTCCCACGGGTGTGTCAAAACTGCTAAGAGAAGTGCAAAAACAGCCTCTCGGACACTCAAAGGTGAGTAGGTTGCGGGTGATGCGTCCAATGCTTCGTTCATTCTTTTGACCAGATTAAGAATGGCTGGGGGTAGCTGGGGATCGTATGCGTGCGAGGCGTCGGTGCTTGTTCTCCTCAGAAACAACAACAATCGGTAGCACTCGTTATCATAAGCATCATTGTCTCCTTGCAAAGCTTTGAATGGGGCGTGCTCGAATCCGCTATGCATAGAACGCAACATGGAATTAGAACATTGTGCATGTGTGAAGGAAAAAGCGTCAGAAGAGTACCTCTTTGTTGGCTCGGATGTAGCAAGCCGTCTAAGGACCAGATCATTTGTGATGGGAATGAGCCGTCTACCTTCCTGCAATATCTCCTTGACGGCTCTCAAAAGTGGCGGTATTGGGATGCCTGATCTAGGTATCTCCACGAGCCCACATAAATACTCAAAGTCGGTTCTTCCCTTGAGTTCATCAGGAAATCGGAGCTGATGAATCCACTCTGGATTTCTACGACGGTCCTGCTCTTGTACAGTGACTCCGCTCATCCATGCTCTGTTTGATTCCGTGTATTGAGATATGAGCTCGTCCACCTCACCGTCATGCCCTTCGCTACCGCTGGTCACGGGAAAATATCTACGTGCCGGTCCAACTGCAGTGGTAATCCTTTGCAGTCTGACGCGTGCAAAAAGGTTACCTCGCTCGAACCTTGATCCTGGATGTGCACTCCGGTAGTGATTTCGGAGGGAGTTGATGGCGTTGAAAGACGCGTGACTGCAGTGCGGACACTCATAGCCGGTTTCAACATCAATCCCGTCGTAGGGTGGTCGCTTCTCTTTGCCAGGGTCAACCCATTCATCCAGAATCTTTACTCCTGTGGATGCCAGTGACGCTTCCAATCGGCGAGCATCATATAATCTAAGGGTCTCTGGATGCGAATCTCGCAGGTGGCTCCGTATCTCGGAGAAGAGAAGTGCTCTTGCACACTCTAGGCAAATCGGGTAACGTAGAACGCTGTTGACGACGAGCCCGAGGGTGTTAAGATATCCCTCGTTGTCTGTCACGAGTTGTGTACCCTAAGTCCGTCATGAGTGGTAAATCAGGCATAACCTCACACTTCCAACGCACGTTTATTACGTGAGAAGGGTTTCCCATGACTCCCGCACTGTCTGACGTAGTAACAGGTTCCGATTCGGCAGGTTGAAGCCTCGCATTTCTGTTTAGGTGCTTGAATGTCCAGTGCGTATCATTATTGGAGTCGGATTCCGTTATCGTATGCTCTTCAGTGTCGTCACGAAAGTCTTCATCCTCCATCGATTCCTCAACAGCGCTACTTAGGGGCACAGTGAGCATGTCAACGTCTCGGTTCGTATCCCCGCCGACGCTCATATTCTCGTCCAATGCAGGATGTTGGGCGTTTGCATCTTTCTCTGGCTCCAACGAGTTCCCGAGCGGTCGAACCAGATTACTTCTGATAACATTTGCCGCTTGAAGAGCAGACTCGGGATCCCAGAACAAGTCTGGAGGAGACTTCAAGGTTATCTATGAGTCGAGCGTCAGAATTTAGCACTCATCAACGGACAGAATATAGAGTGCGGGCTGCGCAGATCGTCGACACTTGACAGTGTTCGTTCAATTCCAGCGATGAACTTACCAAAACCTTTTGAGGGCTAATCCACGAGGTCTTTTTGCGTTCAATATGTTTCAGAACCGCGGAGACGTTTGGTCGGGCCGTATATCCATCAGAAGTGGTCGAGCATTCGGTGCAAAAACACGCTGCATATACAGTTCCACAGGAGGTTACCACAAGGGGTATTTCTGTCTCGTTAATCTGATCTTCAAACAATCTCACTTTACAACTCTGCGTTCGAGGACAGTTTTTGTCGTGTCTCCCTTTGGGCGTCTTATACGTCTGCCCGCACACTGCACATACGGCATGAGCGGGCATTGGACCAGTAACAAGAGGAACGGATTTCAGACGGTGGGTGGTTCCAGAGAGCGGATCTCTGGAAGAAACATGGGGAGATCACGCGCAAGAGCGCAATGCTTATATACCTTCGAAGTCCCCAGTTCTTGGCATCTGTCTCGTTGACCGGATTTGACTGGCAGTAGCCCATCACTGTAAATGCACACATTTTGCGTTGACGGGGTATTACTTCCGAGTAGTGACGACTGGAATGGGTCGGACACTCAAAGGTAAGCCGCAGTGATGCACTCCATTTTCACAAGCTTTTTGACGGTTCCTCCGCCTTTCAGACTCATTTGTGATAGACTATACCTCCCTGAGTATGAAAATGCGTAGGCCTTGCCGTGATAGTTTGGCGACGCCCCCCGGTCCTATTTCTGTCGATTAACTCGACAAACGGGAAAATATTGCATATGAGCCACCGCAACACAGAATCCGCACATGAGTGCTGAAAGCGTCAGTTGTTCAGTCTTGTCTTTGGGCAGTTTTTGATCTCTGGATAGCATACGTTCTACATGGAGCACGATAGCCACCAATTGGGCTCAAACATCGCGCAGATTGGATGAAAGATCTTGACGCAACATGATCTCCAACCTATGTCAGGGGTTGCATACCTTCCCTACGATCCATGCGAGAGATCCAGCAGTTCGATCTGTATCTCAGATACGGCTTTAAAATCGACCTGTCTTTTTTCTAGTACGGCATCACAGGCACCACTCAGAGTGAGAATAGCATAAGAAACATGGGTCTGATATGTTGCAATTTTGGGGCGCAAGGAAAGAAGTAGTTGATCATTTAGGCAAATTATCGAGCCACATAATATATGCTTTTAGTCTATCTGATGCTCATTCTCTGCATATGCGTCATGCACGTGCGTTTTCGCGTATAAAGTCGGGAATCGTCTCATCATTTGTCGCAACTCAAAGCTCACGAGTCGCAGAGCAAACGAGGAGCTCTGGGTAGTGTACATCCCGCCTTTGGATACCTGTCCAGCATTGAGTTATATTATCAACCGACAGACCTGCAATTTTAAACCTAAACCGTGACTTTCTGCGCGGTATTTCCATCTCCCTTGACTCCGAATATGCTCGAGCTCAATGAACTGAGCAATACATGGACATATACCAGGCGGCCGTCAGGTCCAGCTTTGTTCACAAGAGGCATCGACGTATCTTGGTTTCATTGCCCGAAGCACGATATAGTGCGACATTTGACCTTCAAGGTCACCGCCATTGCGAGCACACATCTGAGTTTGATGCACGTCATTACGCGCTGTAAACATGTTCAGATAATGCAGATTCCATTACGTGGGTCATGAGGATCCGGAACCAGCCGGCCTTTATTATCTGAGCTTGGTCTACCCCAGGACGAACTCCACTCTCACAGTCATCCGCGCTCGCCCACAACTTCTTGACGCCTGCCCCAAGGTGCGCAGACCCGAAAGTAAGTAAACAATCAAGCGTTCAACCCTCACGTTCCATGACCGACGCAGTGATTAAGGAGTGCTCACAACACTTGAAAATGAGCGGCTCAGTCGTATCCCACAACTGTGTCCATGCAGGGACATTTGAGTCTTCCTCAGGCCACACCCACAAAGGCTCAGCGCAAGCAGGCAGCGCAACAGAAACCCGCAACTTGGCTGTCAGTCGGTGGTGCGCATGGGCACATTTACTGGTCGCAAAGGTTATTCAAGCACTCGATTGGATGCGTTTACCACGAGAAAACAAGGATATAAAAATGGTGGTCGGTTGTAAGAGATCGGACCCAGACTTTGCCACGGGTGATATCTGGCGTGATGAGGCCGTTAAGGAATTCATTGACGCTGAGGAAAGAGCAGAGGTTGAACAGCTTTTATTTGAACAAGGAGATGGGAGCGAAAATGATGTATCACGACAATGTAGAGAAAGAGACACGTTGAGCGCCGCCCTGTCTTCTTTATCATGCCCTGCTTTGGTTTGAGCAATAGTGTAGTAGATGCGAGCTGTGTAAATAAGCCAATCGAGCTAAGGGTTTGTAGATTAGCATGTTGCTCAAAACACAAAGCCCCTGCCTCCCGTTCTCGGACAACATTCTGCCTTGGTAATGATCTTTGTGCGGTCAAGACAGTTGTATCCGTCCGGGTATGTACCTGGATGACACATACAAATGAGGGTCAGAAGCCGAATGAAGTATCCGACCTCAATCCATCGGCAATGTCATACAGCCTTGCGTAGCTCCATGATGCACAAGTGAGTTGCAAATGTGTTTGACTTTGTCGTGTGTCCATCTTCAGCGCAAAAACTTCGCGAGAAGCTCGTATCCACGAGCATCGTAATATGCTGTGAGATGAGACGGCGATTAAGAAGAGGACCTTTAAGCTGAAGGTTGCCGTATTGTGAGATTAACATCCGTAAAGACAGCCCATTCATATGATGGGAGCGCCCCGATATACTCGGTTTCAAGAAGTTTTGATTCGAGTTCGTGTTTCGAAGCTTTATCAGTCATTGAGTACTTCCCCATCTCAAGAGCACACGCACGGCAAAGTTGAAATCACGAGAATGGAATGAAGAATGGTAGTTGAATATGCCAAGGATCTGGGCACCGCGAGATCCGCTGCGCTCTGAGCTTTTCGTCTTTTGATTTTGACCAGACGTTTGCGCAGAGAGGCAGAGAGAAATATAGCAATCTTCATGAGTGTGTGACGACACGCGGACCCGTGTTACACAATGACTAATGGACACCAGCCCTTGGCTCCGCCGCCCTCGTTCCGTTTTCCAGCTCTCTCCACACACTCATCCTGGCGTTCTGATGGAGCAGCCCTCTG